CCCCCTTAGGAGATATTTTAGTAATTCCTTAAAACTACCCAAGGATTTTTTTCATCCAACCTCTTCTAACCCAATTCTAACCTTTCCCCAAAGCCTTTTAGAGTATTTTAATCCCCTACTTGCAGGAATTGTCATCGTAGAAACATACTATCTACATTGTATTATAATTGGGTGAAAATCTAAGATATTTGATCTAGTGTAATGATCTAGTCTGTAAAATTGTAATCTAGGGCAATATTAAGAGTTGTTGTAGTATACCTCTTTCTTCTTGGGTGATCCCATTTAACATCTCATAGAAGATGTGGAAAGCTCTCTCACCAGATAGAGGACTGGTTACTCTGGTCTATAGACATGTAATGATAGATATTATGTGTCTCAGCTGAACATATATGAGGCACAACTGCATTTCATGGTAAAAGGATGGTGGAAAAGCTAGGTCATATTATATACTTACATAATCTAATGAATAGCACTGTATTTTGGTTTTAGATACATAACCATCTGTGAAATAAAACTCATAAAGGTGGCCCTATGAAAATTAGGAATAAAAATCAATAATATATATAAAACAATTTAAAATGTGTAGTTCCATAAATTATGCATTCCCCCCTCCCCCCACGGAGGATTTTTTCTTTATGCCCCTTACCCCTTGGAAATTCCAAATTCCTCTGTGGGGGAGGGGGTATGGATAATTTCTGGAACTACACAATAAAAAACACCTCTAGCATTAATGGAAAATAATTTTTTTTCTTTGTGTGCTAGGATAATGGCACCTGACACTCTGGTCTTACACTTACCACTCTTGAAGAATTTGAATTCAATGTTGTTTTAGCCAAGCTAAAGGACTGCAAGACTGTTACTGAAGCCAAAAAATGCTGGGAAAAACATAAACAAAATATTAAAAATCAAAACTTTTACTTCAAGCAAAACAAGGACCATAAAATCTCTAAAAATCTATCAGTTTTCTCTGTAATCACAGAGTGGGACAATAATGAACTGAACCCTCAGATCCATGCTAGGTGAAAGACCAAGATCGAATTGGAATTTAGGAGTTGGTTTTTGCGGAGGGAGGAGAACCGGAGAAACCAGAAAACCCTCGAAGCACAGGAGAGAACCAACAAACAAACTCAACTCACATACAACACCGAGCTCATAGGGACTCAAACCTGGGTCGCATTGGTGAGAGGCGAGCACTCTCACCGCTACGCCACCCATGCTTCCCTAAAGTACACTAAGATGTGGTAGGACTAATGCAAGTTGTAATTTAAAATCACCAATGTTTGATATCATACCTGGACTAAGGTTTTGATAAAAAATTAGTTAAAAAAGGTTAGTAGGCCCCTTGCACTAAGGAACCAGTCATTATCTAGGGGGGTGGGAGAAAAGACGGGTACATCAAAATTGTGGCTCACAAAAAGGGAAGATCAGGAAAAACCAAACATGACACACCCACTGTTGCAACAGCCATTTAGTGCCTCTCTAAAGTCCTTGGCAAAAAAGCTTTCAATGGACCAAATCCACTTGGGTATTATGTTTTGCCCATTTCAGACCACTTGTCATTCTCTTGAGAATAAGATTCTTTGCTTTGCTTTGCCATGTGTCTTTTCATGCTCAACCATTAAACAAAGAAATAATACTCTAGAGAAAGACACATGGTCTGAAATGGGGAAAACATAACACCCCAGTGCATTTGGTCCAGACATTTGGTCTGATCAAACATATCAACCGTTTATCAAATATACTCACCTTACATATATCGGAGACGAGTCCCTTATCACCCTGTTCAAGTATTTTCTTGTTAAGAACCTGAGATACATAGGTCTTACCACTACCACTAGAGCCACTAGTAGACAAAAAAATTCTAGATCAAATTACATGTAATATTGTTTAGTGGAAACTGAGGAAGTGCGAATGGAAGAGCGATTCAACCATGGAATAAGGACCACAAAATTTTCTAGCCACTGGCTATTAAGTATTACCCCCCCCCCCCACCCCTAAAAACTAGGATTTTAATTCTATCATTAGGTCTCTCCTTGGAAATCCAATACCTGAGTACAAAGACTTGTGGTATACCCCTTTCTGATAATCTATCCATGACTTCCTTGACACATGAGTCTAGACAAAGAGTATCTGATGACAAGGCTTGGAATTGGGTGCTGTTTAATGAGTTGACTGACAGTAGTACCGGTCCAAGTTTGGTCTAAAATTAAAAGCACAAAGAGATAACCAACATCATTAATTTAATGTAAGAGTTTTAATGTAAGATTATTTTTGCAAGTAATTAATTTAATGTAAGATTATTTTTGCAATTCTTGATTTACTGCTGTTGCTGTTACAGCTGTAGTTGTTGTTGCTGCTGTTGTTGCTGCTGTTGTTGCTGCTACTGCTACTGTTGTTACTATAGTTTAAAAAGTTGCTGTTATTTTTGTCATTGCTGCTGCTACTGTTGCTAATGTTACACCTGTAGTATGCTGCTGTTGTTGCAGCTGTTGTTGCTCCTGTTGCTAGTGTTAACATTACAGCTACATGTAGCCATTGTTGTTGCTGCTGCTGTTGTGCTGCTGTTGTGTTGCTGCTGCTGCTGCTGTCTTTGTTGTTGTTGTTGCTGCTGCTGTCTTTGTTGTTGTTGCTAGTGTTGCTGTTGTTGTTGTTCATGTTGCTAGTGTTGCTGGAATTGTTGCTGCTATTCTTGTTGTGGTGGATGCTGTCGATAATTTCGTTGCTGTTGTTGTTGTTGCTAGTGCTACCATTGTTATTTCTGCTTTTCTTGTGGTGGTTGCTACTGACATTAATGTTGTTGCTATGGTTACAACAGCAGTTGTTGTTTTCACTACTGCCCCTAATAAATGATGATAACGATAATGCTACTATTTTTAGAAACTTACGATGCTTTGACCATTAGACAATCTCTTGTGTAGTATATCAAGAATAGCATTCTCTGTAACAGGGCCATTCAAGTGGATCAAGTCTTCTATACTTGATGTTCTGTTGCCAGATAAAAGGTTACTTGGAATGCCATTAGTCTTTGATCCTATGTCACAAAACGAATCATATATACAATGAGCAGATTCATAAGTAGGAAAAATATCAAAATAATTTAGTTTTGGTAGAAAAACAGTAGGGATGTTGTGGCTTCACTGAAAAAACAATTTTTCAACAAGCCGTTGAAATGTTATCAAATAACTACGGTAAATTACTATAACTGTCATGTATTCATGGTTGATGTACCTTTCAATCCTCCCCCCTCTCTCCCCCCAGGCCAAATACCTTGTCTTGCTGTTGTCAATAGTACTCCATTTGGGACACTGTCTTTCTTGTTTGTCAACAAGTTTCTTATGGACACAAGTTCTGTAATTGTTTTCTCAAAATTGTTCTTCAAAGCTCTGATATCATCTGATGAAAACAAAAGATTTTGTAAAAATTATAACCTGGATATATTTTTCTGTTAGTGATGATATTGACTCTATAATTCTTCTCAAATTCACATGAGTGACCACAAAACAATAGCTCCAAGTCGAGGTTGGACTTTGTTTGTACATTTACTGTGCTTTATCAAGTTCATCCTTGGCTTAGAACCAATGTTTCATGCTCACTCCAGCAAACTCAGCAAAGTTCTATTCTACCTTGTCACTAGTCTACCCTGCTATGGAGTCCTATGGGATGTGTGTGCTTATATTCTTTTCCCAAGATACAGCTGGATGCATATGCACTAGACAAAGCTACGGTTTGGATACATATTATCAGGGATACAATTATTGTGACTATCTCACACCCGCCATGACATAGATTTTTATGGATGATTAAACAATAACATGAGGCTAGAGCACTTATTAAACAATATATCATTTGATTCATTGGCACCTCAGAGTCTTTGATTATCCTATACAATCTATACAGAGTTTAAGTACAATCAGTTAGTTTCCTGAGCACTTGGCATTATCTTGGAAAGATCTGTAGCTACCATGCAATGCGAATGGCAAAGGTAAAAATAATTTAGATTTAAAAAACAAAAAATTATAAATTATTTAAAGTTAATAATCAATGTTTTCTCAACATATCTTAATACCAATTAAGAGAAGCTCTTTGAGTGCAGCATCAAACACGCCGACATGCACTGAATTGGCTTCTATTGTTTCTACAATGGAAAACCTTTTTACATGCTATACATTAATCCTGGAAATGACAGCATGATCCAATTTACTTTCAAAATCAAAGTAAAAAATATTTTGAACTAAAGTTAAAAACTGATATCATAAATTTTCTTGCATAAAACAAAGGAATACACATTGATGAAGTGGTTTGTAATACAAAAGTAATAATAATGAACATTGTGGATCAAAAGAATGTAAACAAATGAAGACGGAATTTGAATGCCTCCAAATTCCACTTATATTTAGCCTTAAATATCAGTCACGTTTTTTACATTACATCGAGATCTAAGAAAAATCTTTGTACAATCTTCTTAGACGACTAAAAAGTTGGAATTTTTTGGAACATTTTATGAAAAAGTTTTTTGACTTGAACGAATTTAGAGGGAGGTTTAAAGTCATACGAAAATAAATGTACAGTCGACAAAAATGGCGGGACTGATTTTATTGTTATTCTCCTTAGCTTTCAAGGATTTTATATTTTCTAGAAGTGTTGATGTGAGAGGTTTTTGTTTATTGTTTTGAAATCAAAAGTAAGGTTAAATAGACACTTAATTATAGCAAAATACCTGGTTAGAAAAACAATACATGTTGTTATAAAACTAAGAATACAATTTGCTTTTTACTAAGAGAAAATTAAGCCTCACCTTGATTAATGACATGTTTTCCTTTAAGGTTTTTCATTAAGTTGCTGTTCATTAAATCGCGATGAAGAATCTCAAATTTTTGTCCAAAATTTTCCAACTCTTTCAAAAACTCCCCGCCAAAATTACTACCGTGGCGTCCTTGGTTACTACTTTTTATCTCTGCTTTTAACTGTGCATTTTCCTCAGCTAGGGTTTCTGAGAGTTTTTTAGCATGTGCTAGGTTTTTAAAGTCCTCATTTTGACGAGTTTTAAAGGTTCCTAAGAGTTGGCCATTTTTCCTGCGTTCTTCTTCCAAGTTTTCACGAAGGATTCGCACTTCTCCGTGAAGTGAAGCGTTCTCCTCAAGAATGCGTTCAAAACCTGGCTTGTCAACAAACGCTGCATGTTTTGCAGCCATGTTCAAGTAAACTTAAGTCCAGAATTCTTAGTTTTTAAAGGAAAATTCCAGAAAATTTCAAGCAAAATGGCTTTATTTGCAGATGCATGCTGAAGATTGTGTATTTGACAGAGTAATACGTACAGTTCCGAATACACTCCGATAAATCTATAATCCAATTATATTGCTCGCTAAAGTTTCGGCACAGAGTCGAGGTATTTTCGTTTGATACGCGATTGATCCTTCTTCGGGATAGTTCGTCCAGTATTTGTATTCTCGTACCTGTTGGTGCAAGTCTGTAAAAATGGCTAAGTTTGTGCTCGCAATTTTCGTCGTTGTAGCTGCTGTAGTTGGATATTTTTTAGTGCAGAAGCTGGAGCTTGAAACTAGAAGCATTTCTTTAAGCGTTGAAATCAGAGGACCGTCCAAAGAAGATATCTTTGCTTCTCTGATTGACCCTTATCTTATAACATCCCTACATCCTCTAGCGTGAGTTGTCAGCTTTTCATTCTAAGCTTAAATCAAATATTAATGCCATTTTTTTCAATATTAATGCGATCTTTGCTTCTCTGATTGACCCTTATCTTATAACATCCCTACATCCTCTAGCGT